GTAAATAATATATAATAAATTGTAATATATAAAATCAAAAGTATAAAATAATAAAATAACATAAAAATAATAAAATAATATATATTTTTTAATATAAATATATAAAATAAAACAAGATTAATAAAATATAAATATATAATTAAATGAGTTGATGTTTATGACAAAAAATGATTGGCACAATTTTCAAGACAATCAACTCCCCTACTAAAGGGGTGCCATTAGCACTCCCCTATCGTTATTGTGAGAATATTCCAAAAGAATGGGCACAAATTGTCCTAAAGTTTCATGTCCTTGGAGTGGCAGACATTTGCTCTGATACCATGTAATAATATGTGGAACTCCATTAAATCACTCTCCAAAAGAGCCCTCGAATCGAAGAGAAAGGGTCGAAGCCTAGCCAATGTGGCTTCGACGGTTATCGTAGTTTATCTTTAGAGATTGGTGGGAAGATATGCAAACGATTATTGTTAATGGTGAGTATGACTGATGCAGGAAGAACGATGGAAAAGGTCTTAGATTGGTCTGCAAGATACAAAATAGCAGTAGGTGCTGCAAGGGGAATATCATATCTTCATCATGATTGTATCCCTCGTATCATCCATAGAGATATCAAATCGAGCAACATTTTGTTGGATGAAAACTTGGAGGCTAGAGTTTCTGATTTCGGGTTGGCAACATTGATGGAGCAAGGCCAGACTCACGTTTCTACTCTCGTAGCTGGGACTTTCGGATACTTTGCCCCTGGTATGGCCTCACTACACCTATCCTGATCACAATTATAAACTATTTTATGTATTATTCATAATGAATAATCATGAATATTAGTTCATTTTCATCATGTTTCATTATGAATAGTTTTCATTGTGAATATCTATCACGACATTCATTATGAATAAAACATGAATAATTGGTTCTCAGGTTCTCATTTGAACCTACCTCATTAACATAACACTTGTGTTTATAGAGTATTTTGACACGGGAAGGGCAACAACGAAAGGAGATGTATATAGTTTTGGTGTTGTACTACTTGAGCTTTTAACTGGGAGAAAGCCTACAGATGAAGCATTTATCGAAGAAGGAACCAAGCTTGTAACTTGGGTAAGTCCTTATAGTCAAAGATTCGACCCGTTTTAAGTCCTTATAGTCAAAGATTCTACCTTTTCAAGTCTTTAAGATTCAACCCTTTTCAGTGTTTGACCGATACTGAAATTGTGAACTATCATGCTACAACAGGTGAAAACAGTTGTTCAAGATAAGAAGGAAGATTATGTGCTCGATAACAGATTAGAGGATTACCCTAAAGATGAAATTGATCAGGTATTTAGTATCGCACTAATGTGCCTAGAAACGGAGCCATCCAAAAGACCAAGCATGTCAGAAGTTCTAAAGATGCTAGAAAAGATCAAACAAGATCACCTTCTATGATCATAATCACGGTCACCACTCTTTTTGTTGTTCGGAAATCTAACAAGGACTCAGTTCAGGAAGTTCCTACTCGTTAGAAATAAAGTATCATGAAACTAACAGATCACTGAGTTTATCTGAGAATTGAAGCCAAACAGTTGCTAACTGAAGCTTTTAAGGAAGGAGAAACAGGGCCACGGCCAAAAAATACGTCAAAGAGGGAGATTGTCACATTTTCTGATTGGATTGTGGCATCTGCAGCCGATGGAATCCCTTCGGCTGATAAGTGAACTAGCATTTTGGAGGGGTGAAGCCAAGTCAAGAATATGGAAGTTCCTTTCTTTAATGGCCGATTTTGAAAGATCCCACGGAATGTGGAGAGGGCAGTTTCATCAACTTGGGGTGATTTGATTCTTGGGGAGATGGCTTCATCTAGAGCATCCCAGAAAGTTTTGCCATCAACATCTCTGACTAGAACTATCTGTAATGATTTCTCTAGAGGATCTGCACTTCATTAGAAGATCCTGTAAGCATTTAGCTACCATCAAGTATAGGATCAGGTTCTGGAAAAACCGCAAAAAAGTGAAAAACCGAGGAACATCTTGGGAACCGTTCATCTGGATGGTATGCACATGTGCATACAAGTAGTTTGTAAACAATTTGTTCAGTATGCACTTGTGCATAAAAACCAAGAAACAACTTCAATTACTTATATGGACATATGTATACCGTCCAGATGAATGATCACTAGGGTGTTCCTCGTTTTAATTTTTAATTTTTTGAAGGTTTTCCCCTAAATCTCCCTCATCAAGTGTGTGTGTGTGTACACACACAGGAAAACTGTAAGTACCCTGATAGATTAAGTTGAACAAAGATGAATCCTCTTGAATTTCAGCTGCATTTCGTCCTTTCCAGGCTTCTAACTTATCCAAGATAGAGGGGTTTAGGTATAGTCCAGCGGCATAGACCTTAACGCCTATTATTGCAAAAACTTTTTCTCTGAATCCTAGAATAAGATGAAGAGATAGTCTTAGATTTGTGCAGATTATAAAAAGATCAGACGAACCCAGAAATCGGGATTCATTTTGAGAGCATTCTCTAGAAGTGAAGTGAAAACTAGAAGTGATGCATTAGAGGTTAACCTGTTCCAATCAAAGATAATGAACTTGGGCAACCAGGAAGACTCAAAGATGATTGAAATTTCACATTTGTAGCAGGCTCCTCCACATATTCTGTATTTCCTACTATAGATCCATGATCACACACACAGATAGCAAATGATCAGTACTTCGGCACAAGGTTGAAAGTCTGTTCCTTTTGAAAGATTTCTTGATTTTTATAAAAATACTGAAGGAACTTGCAAGAATCCACAATTAGAATTTCATATACACTGTTTTGCTAAAAAAAACTCCATGATTTCAGAGAATAAGAAACTTATAAGATTCCCAATTAGAGTTTCGATTCAAATGTGCACAACGATATACAATGATTCCATAAAGGGTTTCTTTTATAAATAATGTCAAATTGGAAGAAAACAAAGAAACAAAAATAAAAGTAGGAAATAACCTGAAGAAGCAGTAGCTTTAATGGAGAAGGAAGGGATGCGGATAGGGGAAAACTTGTGGACAGATAACTTGGTGGGTGGAATTCTATTTCTTTCTAGAAAATGGGTTCTATTTCTAGGAATTGGATTTGAATTTGGGGGTCGAAATCTGTTGTGGGGCAAAAGCGAAACTGATCTGGGAGTTGCTCCAATTCCTATTCCTCCACCTCCAACCATATCTTTCTGTGAGTTCCTTCAATCAGTAAAAGCAACTTCCAGGTTCAACCCTCTTTTACTCACTTCATCCATATCCGCAGGGCCCCAAAGAATTGAAGACTTGTGGACAACTGGATATGCCTGACCATGGTTTTCTTGATTTTTGTTTTTTTTTCCTTAAACTCTAAATAAAAATAACAAATGTTAGGGCTATCGTTGTAAAAAGAAAAGGGAAGTTGATTTATAGAAATGGGTGTGTTTCAAGTCAGAGATCTGGGTCATTTTATGCTTGTTCTAATGTTTTTATTTCATTAGTCAAGAAATCTTGAAACAAGTTTGTATCTCTTCTGTTTCTATGTTAAGTTAATGACCATTTGCTGTGTGTATGTGTTCATGATTTATAGCAGGAAATACAAGATATGCTTAGGAGCCTACTAAAAATGTGAAGTTTTCGGTATCTTTAAAGTCTTTCCATGTGTTTTTAGCAGAATTCTACCGTTTTTAAGCTTTTCTTTTAACTTTGAGGGATTTTCCGGGTTTTTGTTTGATTTCAAATTTTTTTTCCGGTTTTCTGGTTGATTTTGAGCGATTTTTTCGTTATTTTGGTTGATTTTGAGGGATTTTTCGATTTTTGTTTGATGTCCCTTGTATTTTCTAATCTCGGAGCATCCCTCAAAGTTTAGCGGATACATCTTTCATACCCCACCAAAAATCGGTTGAGTTGGTTCATGGGATCCGTTAGGGTCTTCACAAGTGTTCAATAAACATGCCCTTAACCTCTTAACACATAAATTCTAGTTTTAAGTACTGACATGACTTCTTGTGTTTTATGAGGCAATAGCAAGGGACTCTCAAGGTTTGAGAGGGAGCTTTCTTGTAGTCATTTACAACTTCGAGTTTGAGTTTGAGAAGCGTAAGGTAACAAAGGAGGACGTTAGCGAATCAATTTTCTAGAACATTCTAGAATACCATCATCAGCTGCTAACAGAAAATGTGTGTGATAATTCCCCATCCATGTAATCTTCTAGCAGCCGAGAGGGTGATATTCTAAAATATTGCAGAATATTAATTCGCTAATGTCCTCCTTTATCGCCTTGCACCTCTCATAAACACAAACTTCGACTTTGAAAATGACTGACAAGAAGGCTCCCTCTCAACCCTAGATGGTCCGTAAGGATCATCTACTGACTCATAAAAGACAATTATAGAGAAAAAACAAACCTTTCTCTTTGTTGATGCACACTCTAAAAAATATCATAGCGGAATCATGTTAAATCTTGGTAGCTTGTTTTGCGTGCAGTTGCTATATTTGCTTGTAACTATGTTACAATAAAATTGGGTTTATATGATGCTAATAATTCCTAAGGGTCCTAACAGACTGTTTTATAAGACTTAATTTTGAAACTGTAGGTTTTCAGACCGACTTACACACACCGACTAATCCCCGCGTGACCATAAATGGCTTGGAGTCATTGTAAAGGAACTTCCATGGTGGAAAGGGCTGGTAGCACAGGATCAACTCAAGGAGATAATTTCCACTATATTCCCTAAGCCTTAACCGGTGCATCACAACCTAAGTGAAGTGACATTATAACAAACTTGGGTTTATTAGCATTCGTAAGTGTTTTAATAGACTGTTTTATAAGACACGATTTATAGGACTAAAAATAAAATGTCTTATCTAAAGGCGTTGTAAGAAATTTATAAGATGCTTTTAAACGTCTTAACAAGTTTTTAGGACATTTTTAATACAAAACATTGCATTAGCTATTTTAAAGGACATTTTTGAGAAACATCCGATAAACTCATCTTTTTATAGGTTACTTGTTTTTATATGAATCTTTTTCAAATAATGTTCTATAAAATAGTTAATACGACGTTCCTTTTTTATAAAAATGTCTTAAAAAACCTGTTACAACACGTACAAATGTCCTATAAATTTATTACAATGTTTTCAGATACAATGCTTAATATTTTGATCCTATAAATTAAGCCTTATAAAACAGACTATTAGGACGCTTATGAATTGACTGACGTCCTATAAACATAATTTTGTTGTAACGCCACTTGGGTTGTGGTGCAATGTTTAAGGCTCAGGAGATGAAGTGGAAATCTTATCTTCCTCGAGCTTGAATCCAGGTGCTGCCAAAGTCTTTGGTAAATGGTCCCTAAGTCCCGTCTATCATTGGAAGACACACTTGAACTCTCCTGCTATACTATTCTAAGCCGAAAGCAACTTCGAACTCAACTTGGTCATGTCACGTAGCTTTGAGCGACTTTGAAGGCGAATGTCGAACTCGAGTCCAAGTTGGATTGAAACGTACTGAGTTGTACGCTACACATTGAGCGACTTGTGGAAGTCGCGTAGAAGGTCGCCAAAATGGTATTCAGAGTTTATTCCATACATAGGGGCCGCTTACTACCAGTAACCACGTAATCGTTAACCGAATAAGTGAGGCTCTTGATCTTTACCCAGACAACCTCGGTCAGCGATATTGTAGGACAAAGGTTGTGGGTACCACTAGCCCAGTAAGAAACAGTAAACAGTAATTAATGAACACTCTTAACACATCAGTTCTAGTTTTAAGTACTGACATGACTTCTTGTATTTTATAAGGCAACAAGGGACTATCTTAAGGTAGAGAGGAAGCTTTCTTGTCGTCATTTACAACTTCGAGTTTGAGTTTGAGAAGTGTAGAGTAACAAACAAAGACATTAGTGAATCAATATTCTAGAACATTCTAGAATACCACCATCAGCTGTTAAATGAGAATGTGTGTGATAATTCCCCATCCATGTAATCTTCTAGCAACTGAAGGTGATATTCCAAAATATCACAAAATGATAAATTCGCTAATGTTTCCTTTGTCACCTTGCGCCTCTCAAAAAAGCAAACTCTGACTTTGAAAATGACTGACGAGAAGGCTCCCTCTCAGCCCTAAGGATCATCTAGTGTCTCATAAAACACATACAAGTCAAGTCAATTCGCTATGCCCTTTGCATTCCGTCAATCCTTTGGATCAAATGCGAACCGAGACCGCCTTCGCAATAACCAGAGCATACGTGTTGCAACTTCGCCAACAATGCTCCAAACGAGAGCTGAAACAGAAATTAGTAAACCCCATAACACAAAGGTGGCCGAAAACAACAATACCATATGACGCACGATAATAAACCAACATAAAGTAAAGGAGAGATATATAAGAGAACATCAAGCTTCAAGTGGCACTACAAGAAAATTGGCTTTATATGACGTCTAAAATGTTTAAGTGTTCTAATATAATATTTTATAGAACTCAATTTTGTAGGACCAAACTACAAAACATTCTATCAAAAAGTGTTATAATAGGTTTATAAGATGTTTTTTTTGGCGTTTTGACAAGTTTTTAAGAAACTTTTAAAATAAAATGTTATATAAACTATTTTATAGAGCACTTTTGAGAACTGTCCTAGAAACTATCTTTTTGTAGAATACTTGTGTTTATAAGACAATTTTCAAATAATGTCGTATAAAAATAGCTAATCAAACATTTTTATTTAAAAAAGTATCCTAAAAAACTTATTGAAACGCCTAAAAACATCTTTTAAACCAATTGCAACACTTTTAGATATGACACTTTTTGGTTTGGTCATTTAAACTTAATTCTTAGAAAACATTTTATTAAGATGTTTAGACATTTTAAGCGTCTTGTAAAATCAATTTCGTTGTAATATGGAAACACCCTTGACAGAAAAAAAAAAAAAAAAAACCATGGGAGAGGAGCCAATAGAAAATCCTTGGATTTGAACTTGAAACCTCGTGGTACTTTTGACATTTAGAGTCAAGATCAAACCAATCAGGCACCACCGTTGTAGTTGAAGCAACGAATATTATGATATAAGTTAATTTGTAATAATATTTAATTAATAAAAAATGTATAAAAATAAAAATTTGGTTTAAAAAATCACATGGGATTAAGTACTTTAAGCCTTAGGGCTCTCACCTCACATGATCTAAACTAAAGTACCTCAAACTCATCATGCTTCAAGTCTCTTTCTTTTTCCCAATAAACATCAGATTCAAGAAATCTTGCAAAAGTACCAGTTTTTATGCAGAAGTTACATATCATCTGGAAAAGATGAGAGGAACAAATGGAGCTGTAAAGGGACTGAAATCTTTAAGCCCTTTTTTCATATCTTAATTGTACCCTTTAAGAATTCAATTCCCCCACTCAGACATCCATTAAATACGTCTGTTTGAGGAGATCACATATCATCACTTGATGCCATGGCTGAAGGGAAACTATCTGCTTCTCTTTTCTTCTTCCTCCTCCTCCTCTCCTTTTCAGGTATCTTGATTTCTTCTATGCATTCTTGAACACATTTCTGCCATGATTCTTGCTTCAATTAGCTTATTTGATTCTTCTTCTTCTTCTGCAGTTGGGACTTTGAGATTGGTTCATGCACAGGTGATAAGCTGAATCAGATTTCCATGAGAATCACTACAACAAAATCGGGTTTATAGTACACTATGAATGTTCGACTGTCCTTATAGATTACTTAATGTATAGGACCAAACACTTGTGTGTCCTATCTAGAGGTGTAATAAGTTTATATGACGCTTTTAAACGTCTTAAACAAGTTTTTAGGACACTGTTGAAACAAAGTGTTCTATTCCGTTTATATCACACTATTTAAAAATAATGTGTCATATAACAAGATAGTGGCTATAGGACACTTGTATAAAAGGTTAATACGACACTTTGTTTCAAAAGTGTTATAAAAAAGCTTGATGACTTATTACAACACTTTTAGATATGACACACAAATGTTTGGTCTTATGAAGTACTCTATTAAGACACTTTTTGTTGGCCCATAAACTCGATTTTGTTGTAATGCATTTCTAACCGTTTTCTTATCATATCCATCTTGTCTAACATTACGAATAATCTTCAAGATTTGCCGTGATCTGTAACTAAAATCGACCATCTTTTTTTGGCAGAAAACTTGGTGTGTGGCGAAGCCATCGTCAAGCCAGGCGACGCTCTTGGAGAATATAAATTTTTCGTGCTCGCAAGTGGACTGCGCGATCCTGCAAAAGGGTGGCGCTTGTTATACGCCAGATAACGTAATCAACCATGCCTCCATAGCCATGAATTTGTACTACCAGTCCAAAGGAAGAAACAATTGGAACTGTCAGTTTAAAAACTCGGGTCTCATTACAGTCAGCGACCCAAGTAAGCGATAAACTCCACGTCTCACCAAAAATTTGATGTCAATTTCATACTTTTACTCGATCTTTAGACATTTACACGCTGAAAAGGAGATGTTTGCACGGTTTTTGTAGGTTACGGAGGCTGCCCATACTTGTAGATGATCGGCATGGAAGAAGTTATAGATGTTTTCTACTCGTTGGCGGGTGTAGTAACGATAGATTTACAATGAGAAATAGTTACTTATTGACTGTGATTGTCGTTTATTGAATCAAACTTTTTTGTTGACTGTACGTGTTCGAACCAGCTTGTGCACACCTCAACTAGTTCCAGTATCCTAAATAACATCCAAGAAAAATCACTATTGATTCAAAATTCATCTTGTGGTTTTCTGTTGTCAATCCTCATTAAATGTTATGCTTCAAAATTCATAACTTTTCTTGTTTGAGTGTTAATTTCCATATCATACATGGATTGATGACGTGGCAAGCTAGTTGGAGTCTGTTAGTAGTTAGTAGGTGGTGACTAATGTCACTGAAGGCTGATGTTTTACAGTTGTAAATTATTGAGATTAATATGAATACAGACAAATACAACAAATAAACTTATACACTCTCTTCTCTTCACCTTTGGTGATGTTTGAATCCCTGGTTATTTTTTGCATCCACATAATAGATTGTCTTTATTATTTGTTATATATTCAACACTAAATAACTAGTAGGATAATATACACCAGATATGTTTGGTTGTACTTTTAAATACTTCTAAAAACCAGTTAAAAATCCAATCACCATCGAATCGTGATTAATAATACCATTATCTTCATCCCATTTGTCAAATAATAATTTTGATGTGTCTTTAAATATTAAATCCAACATTAAACGATCAGAGAGCTCACGAAATGTCAGTTTTGAAGTCCAAGCATCTAAACGACATAAACAAACAGTTTTGGATAATAAATTACAAACAACCACGTGACTAGAATTATATATCTATACTATATTATAAAACATTTGACAAAAACTCTTAAAAACTGTTTTTTTACTTCAAATTTAAGATTACAAGTAAATTATGCGTAAGTACAATTTATTAAAACTTTATGTTTAAATTCATGTAACTAACTACAGACAAACATAATTAAATAGAGAATAAACATCTCGTTTTAAATAAAAAAAATCTAAAATATGATTATGATAGCCATTGACTTCTAACAAAATACTTAATTATTATATTTATAAAAAAATATATTATTAAACTAAAAATAAAAAATGAATTAAAAAAATACATAAAAAATGGAGAAATTTAAAATAGTTAATTTGATACAAATATCAATATTTTTTTCAATTTTTTATGATATATTCATATTTATATTTTATTAAAAAAACAAAAATATTATTGTTTTCTCAAAATAACATAAAACCGTATTATGACATTGACTAGACAAAGAAAGAAATAAAACATAACATTAAAATCGAGATGTATTTCGCTACATTATGCATTCTAGACCTAGTTAATCAAAATATTATCAAACAACATCTAAATGGGCCATAAACAGATGAAACAGCCCAATTCATTAAACCCATTTGGGACTCCTAGGGTAGGGTTTAGAATCTGGTGCTATAAATAGCAAAGACAAGTCTGGTTTAGAAATCAACTTGCCTTTTGAGAGAACCAGACGACCGCCTTTTGGCCATGCCGCCTGAGTTCCGTTGCCGGCATATAACGAAACAGCCCTCGGTTTCTACCGTTGAAGTGAGTTTTTTATCATGCTTCTGCTCAAATCGAGGTTTTACACACATACATACATGTTTTTCATTATCTTTGTAATTAAGTTTAGCAGCAGGAAATCATGGCCGATCCAATGGGATTTCGCGATTAATATGAATTCGAGATCTCAATTTCACCCGGCCTAAATCAATTATATGGATATCATGGGGGCAGCCTCAAGGGTTTGCACGTTCTCCTGTATTTTCCGTCGTGTTTAATTCAGGGAACTGCCCCATATGTACCCTAACATATCAACACCCTCACCATCTAAGTTTTTTTATTCTCTTTAAAGTTGAAATGTTGATCTTCTCTTAGAATTCTAAAATTTGGCTTATTGACATTTATTAGGGATTTAGGATGTATATATATTTGGTTGATTCGAAAGGGTTTTTTTTGCTGCAAAATGTAGTGAAGTTTGATAGTTTTCTCTGTTGATTGAAATGGTTTAAATATCTTAATTTCAATATTCATAGGATTTCACTGAAATCCACTTTTATTCTTTTATCTAATTTCAATTCCTAATGAATCCTGTAAACTAAATGGTTTCTAATTATTTACTAAATTTGATTTCTGCCATTTTGATGAATAACTGGTACATATGTTTATGAACATTTGCCCATTTATGTTGGTAGTCCATTAGGTTTAAGAAGCTCCAATAGTCTCCAACCCAGATGAAGAAATGGTGATAGAAAGCTATCTTGTTGAAGAAAGTAGTAGTGTTGTTGAGGGATTTAATGGACCAGGTGTCAACGATTTTGGTATCTTCTCGCCTGTAAAACTGGGTATACTTGTTGCTCCTTTGACCGTCGATTGTGATAGTGACGATGATTCCGTTGAAAGTCACCGGAGTTTAAGTTCCGATAGGATTCCGGCTGATGAGACTGTGCAGAAGGTTGCTGTGGCCCCTAAAGTTCGTCTCTTTTGTAGTGATGAAGGAGATGATAAGTTGCAGTTTGATGATGTGTTTTCCGGCGATGATATCCATGAATTGAACGAACCCATTAAGGGTTATAATGTATCATCCAAAACAATTGAAGAAAAAAGAAATAAGGGTAAAATTGTAATTTATATTATTCAGACACAACAACCGAACAACTATTTAACCTAACCCAATCCATATAGACAACTAAATCCCTACAGATATCTTAACCCATACAAAGCATGATAGAAAAACAACCGAACAGGGCCTTAGTGAGGTTGCATTGCCGATACCTACCTTATAAACGAGTTGGGCTTTGCCCATACCAAAATATATATAAAATTATAAGTTATCTAAAAATCATTTAAATTATATAATTTCTTTCAACCAGAAGTAAAAGATATCAATATACATAAATGAATGAAAAAGTAGTTCCACAACACATTTTCTCTCAGAGTTTCAACTTTCAATAATAATAATATATTCAAGATCGAGATTGAAAATATATACTATATAACATATTTGGATGACTTTTGCATAGCTCTGAATGAAAGTGACGTTTTTTGTGGTTGATAAGTGGTTTAAGGTTTTTGTTAAGCATCGAAAATGCACTTATGGTTCTGTAAACCTTATGTAATAGGGCGCCAATTTTTATTTTTAGTAAAAAGATCCTATCAAGTTAGGATTACTTGTGTTGTGATCGTGGATCCTGTAGCGGAAGATGTTTTGCATTACCAGATCTGACGTTGAAGACCGCCATAGATAGGACTCGTACACTCTGGCAATTTTGTTTGACATTTGAATATGTTCATTATTGTTACGTATCCATCTGTATGTGCTATTTAAACATTTGTACATTCTGCTGAATCAAATTCATATTGGATTTTTGAATCCATGACAACGTGCAAAAGCTGATGTTTTGAGGCATCAAAATTCCATCCGCTAAACTTCGGATGGTGTATAATAAGATATTAAGATATTCAAGGGACTTCAATCAAAAAAGCTGAAAGAGTTGTTCAAAGTCAATCAAAAAACTTAAAAATCCCTGTAGAGTGTAGACTGTGATCTACCTTAAAACCTTTGTATGATCAATTATCAAGATCCGATGTAAATTCTTTTACAAAGGTTGATCAAGAGCAATTCATAATGCATAAAAGTGACTACATTTAACGATAAACATACATCAATAAATATTCAAGACTCACCCAGATGGAAGTCACTATTACAACCACCTAAAAACATCACAATCTCTCATGAATGTGTAACAATCACTAGTAATAGTTTATATTCATAATTGATGTTACAAATTCACTGTAATACACCCATTACAGTAGAAAGCGTAATCAAACCTTAAACTGAATTGATTTCATATATGCATCAACCCACCCCTTGCTTAATTCTGTACAGCTGACTTTGCTTGCTGGCCATGCCTCACTACCAGTCCAAGTCCCAGTCCCAGTCATCATTTGTAACACCAAAAATGATAGCAATTGTCCCAATGATTGCCTGAGACACATTCAAAAGAAAATTGAAAGCTAAATGTCTTCATATGTGAATGAAATGAGTTTTCTTCAACACCAATTGATATAATAATAGTCATTTTCTTCTGTAATTCGACTTAGAAAACTAAATCGATTATCATTTTGATACCTAGATTTGTCCAACTTTTGGAGGTATATGTGAAAGCTATATCAAAAAAGACATTGCTGGAGTTAAATTATGCAGTCTTGAATATCTTTGTAATCATAGATTCACACTTTCAACTCCTAAATATGTAAAGGAACTCCTTAGCAACGGAAGATGAACTGTTGTGCATATTGGGATTTGGGAATGAGCCATGTATGAATTACAATGGAGGGGCATATCTTATGATTAGGCATCAAATGAGAAGATAAGGATCGGAGAAGTGGGAATATCTTACAGCAATTAGGCAAGCAATGTATCCAGGTTTCTCCCGGTGATCATATCTGGCACATATTAGAATGAATGCTCCAACATACCAGGGGATAGCCGCCAAGAAGAAACCAATAATGAACCTTCAAAAAGAAACACTCAACATCACATCAAAACTAACACATTCTAACAATAGCCCATCATCAATCAAAGCAAAAGTTATGGAAGGGAGTGGGGGAGGGACTTCTCAGTAAACTAGCACTGTTTATATATATAATAAATCTTTTGAATAATGATGCTAATACAGTTTGGTGAAAAGTGATGATCAAGGGCATCTGGAAAGAATCTAGGCAGTGTAATCGACTTCCTATCACATTATAAGCAAAGCAACAAAAAGATGGTGCAAATGATAAAAACGAAAATGCCATTTAGCTCAAAAGCGAGTAAATGCATACCAATTATCAGTAGTATTCGACTTGTTTGTATTTAAGGCGATAACTACTTACAAGAGCCACCCGATACCAATACCACAGCATGGAAGGCGCCTCTCTCTTACAGGTCTTCCTTCAGCAATCGCATAACCTGGAACATCCTACCAAATTGTAAAATTCACAGCTGATACAAATTCTGTGCCCAGACATTCATGGTTCACAAAAAGAGGTATGTTTTTTGTAATCTTATCTTCTTATATCAAGTTTCCCATCAGCCATTTGATTTCACCCCCCACATTTCTAAAACTCAAACACTACCGTACATCAATATGTACTAAGCTTTGCCCTAGAACTTGATGATCCATCTTACATAAAACCAGTCTCATGGAACTTCATGATCCATCTCATTTAAACGTGATCTCCTAAATTATCATATAAAGATATAGAAATGCAGAGAGTAAGTTAAATCCGCTACATAGGTCGCACCACAAATATATATAAAAAACATATATATAGTGGGAGGTTCAAAGAGCTCCATAAGTATTATGAAAAGGGAAGATTTAAGGGCACGTTCATATGTGAATCACCGAAAAGAAAATCGAAAAATATCTATTTGAACCATTGTTACAGATTATTCATACGGGTTCACATATGCATTATAAAAATGGATTTTTTTCGATGATTCATATATAAACCTTCACTTCATTTTCCCTTCTTATTTTCTCACGAGTCATGGTATTTAGCCATTCTCATTTGAACCGGCCCAAATACATGAAGATGCATATATGTGAAGATAAAACGAACATCTTGCACTAATTGGCAGAAAAAATAGCATCCAATAATTGAACACTATATAATAAACTCTTTGACAAAAAAATCTATGATTGAATGATCCACCTCTTCATTTAACAGCCTGATCATCCACATTGGCATGTTCTGTGAGTTAATCCCATCATATACTAACTCATTTAACAAAATCTCTCTGAAACAGATCTAATTTAGATTCACAATCACTTAATTAATTTCAACACAAAGTAAAAGAACTCCGATCGACTATTTGACCTTCTGATCCGACAGAATTTAATTTTTATACCTGTAACAGCCTGGTAACCATGAACGTAAGGGTTGACCGAAGAACCACCGTGAGCGCCGGGAGGTGGAACAGGCTGAGGAAAACCGATGACCGGCGGCGGCGGAGGATAGTTGTGAACCCCTTGGAAAGTTCCATACTGATGAGGCGGTTGCTGTTGCTGTTGCTGCTGCTGCTGCTGATCTTGATGGTACTGCTGCTGGCTGTAATCCTTCCCTGGTTCACTCATAATTTTTGTGGAGATTGAATTTGATCAAAGGAAATAAATTCTAGGGTTTTAGTAGATTCCGATCAGATGGTTTGTTTGGATCTTTTTGATCTCGTGAACTTGGATCGCTACTCGAAAAATCGTACAAAAATACACGAACAGAAATAATAATAATAGTACAGATAATTCCAACCCACCTTCAGCTAATTGGATGCCGACACGTGGATATTTACCCTTCTATTTGTTTGCTAAATACTGTAGTGCTATACTCGTATAACAGGGGCCCAAATCCATTAATATCAAGATAAAAGCCCGATTGCTTCTAAGCTTCAATTTTACTAAAAATTTGAAATTTTACGTGACGTTTTGGTGTCGATAAATTGATAAAACTAATTAAATGATACGTTTTTAATCGATCCCGTTCTTAATCATGTCTTGTTTGAGATCGATGACTCAAAGCTTTTGAATGGTTTGAATTTAATAAAATCAGCTGATTGATTTTTATACCAGTATTTGTTAATATTCTTTTTCAGATATAAAAGTTTTATTCGTTCAGTAGAAGATTTATGGTTTTCTTTATCTTTTATGCTATGGAGTTTGTTTTTAGCTACCCAAGTACACACCATGATCGATCGTCTCTTTCAGTTATATTCTTATATACCTCGAATTTCTTAATTAATAATGATTTTTTCATGATTTAAGAAAAACCCTTCGGTGGATTTATTTTCATGTCATTAGAAATTTTAAAACTAATTGCACAGTATTTTAGATACCCAATAATGGTATGTAAATGTTTCTTATATACAGATCAGATAAACTTTAGATTTTTTTACTGATAAACATGATTCATAAAAAAGATTACAACTTTATAAGTCGAAAAGAAAAACTAATCATATCAGCATACAAAATATATTTAAAAAAAACACAGTTGCGTTTACAACTTTGTGTACGTAAGATGAAAAAACAATGTTGTATCAGTTCTTTTTATAGACACCAAGAGACAACAGTTGAAAAGTTACAAGAGTATACGATTCGCAAATCCAAGCAGAAATTGACACAAATGAAGGATCTGAAAGGGGATCGAATTCGCTGTCCCCCCCTACTTCTTTCATACCGAGCATCAATACCCCCGTGAGAAATTATGTTATCGTATTTAAAACCCATCTGCAATCTGCTTTAACCTAATAACTCATGTGAACAAAAACAGTTTTTTTTTGTGAATATTTAATCGATTTAGATAACGAAGGGCAACTGAAAACCCCCAAATATTACAATTTCCTTTACAAAAAAGTCCCATTAATCAAAATATTTGGGCTACTACACCTTTTTTAAGGGTATTAATCAATTAATTTCTTGCCACAAGGCACCATACACATGCTCCTCCATGTTATTTCCATATGAAAATTGGGGGTAATCTTTAACACCACCAAACTCTATGATACCACCCATCCCATCTTCATACCCTTGGATGTACATCTCATCCATTTCCATCCAGTTATAATCTAATTCATGTGATCTTGAAATGTTCTGATTGATTGAAAACTGATGACAACCTTCCCAATCAACGTTCCATTCGAGCTCCAAACTCATATCATGATCATCTATCACAATAGGATTAATCTCTGCTTCTAAAGATTGAATGACACTCGATAATCTCTCGTCGTCACACTCGTCGTCCACATGTGGTTCTTCGAGTATAGACATGAGCAGGGTGTCGTCGATTTCCAAGGACTCAAACTCATCAAAACCGTCTTGGTCATTGATGGTTGCCCAGTTTTCTTGGATCAGAGAGGCCATTAAGCAAATCAAAGGGGGTGAAGATCAATGAAAGAAAAGAGGGAGATGAGGTGAGAATATAAGAACACAATGATGAATGAAAGAAAGAGGGTGGATTTATATAGACAAACTTATTCCATATTATAAGTCAATTAATTAGTGGGGCCTAATGAAATGATGGTACAATTATCTTTAGATCTACAACATAGAGGTTGCTGAGTAGGATGGACCATATCTCTGCTTTAGAATACTATTAGGTCAGCAAAACGAACTGCACGAGTCAGACGAAGAATCAGGTTTCTTAGAACAATTTAAAAAAGTCGAAGATGAAGGACCAAATGATGCATGAAACTGTTATAAGTAAATACATATTTACTTACAATTGTGTTTTAAAACATGTATTTTTTTTAACCGATAAAATATGTTTTGTTGGAAACATTAGGTAAGAGATGGTACCTCCAACATGAATGATGTAAGTGGAAAAAAGGCCCACAAAAAGGAGACAAATAATGCAGCATTTAAGATTGTGTTAGATATGGTAGAACCAAAGTGGAATCGAGTTGGGAAACGATAGCTCCTATGTATTAATGGGGTGATCCCACCTTCAACTAATCTCGATATCCTTTCTTTTTATCCTTCGCTCCCAACCAGATCAACTTTATGTGTTAACTGAACATTTAATTGATTGAAATAACTAATATTTTGTATGGGCAGTATTTTAACAACTTATAATTTTTAATATTCATAAAGTTATTAGTAAGTTGTTAAAGTGCTAATTGTGAAAACACTTAGTAAGTTGGATAAGTAGCACTTTAGGAAGCTACATGACACATTTGCAACTTGTAAAAGTACTACTTTGTGAATATTGAAGTTTACAAAAGTAGATTTTGCAAGTTGTTAAAGTGCTACATGTGAAATCTTAGTTATTTCGACCAGTTGTTTTTTATTTTGGTTTAAATAAAAAGGATATATTAAGTTAAAATTCGAGTAGTTGATTTGTGGGTCTTGAGTAGCACATGCGTACACGCATATTCGTGCACAGCTTCATAAAATACAAATACGATGTACCCTATGTCGGCATTCATGGCCTTAACTCAATTATATATGTTGCCCTCTAACCCTTTTTTAAATCATTTTATAAAATATTTGTTATTTTATATATATATTAAAAGATCTGATCAAACTGATTCATGGAAATTATACTGTTTGATTTTTAGACATTACATTTTTAAGACTTGCAGATAATTTTTGTATTAATCGATTATCAGGTAAACGGCTTAGAGTATTTCCTTAGAGATCTCACAATCTTGTATGACTAGATTTAAACGAGTCTCTTGAGTGCTAAGAGCTTTTTTTCGGAATGACGGATAAGAATATCATTTTGGCACCTTTTTTGTTATATTATCATAAGAACTTTTTTATTTTGTGGTCTGTGTATTTTCATTGTCATGTGTACATATAAACCATACAAGCCAATATTAACTCTTCATTTAGTTTAATAAATATCTTATTTGATTGATTGTATGGTTTGTATTTGAAACTCTCTCTCTCTCTTTCTCTCTCTCTCTCTATCTCTCTCTCTCTATATATATATATATATATATATATGTGTGTGTGTGTGTGTGATTCAAGTACGAAATGTAATTCTTATAAATCATACAAATCAATCTTAACCGTCCATCTAGTCTATTAAATATTTGGTTTCATAAATATCTCGATTGTTTCTTAATCCAAAGTCATAAATCATAATTATAATGAATAGCGTTATCATCTTCCCCGAAAAAGTCAATTGAATAAATCATGATTATTGTCCATAAATATTTCAATTGTTTTCTTATATAAGTATTGGGTTGTGTTTTTTAAGAATCGTATGGTTTATTGGTTTATATTTAAAACTCTCTCTCTCTCTCTCTCTCTCTCTCTCTATATATATATATATATATAACATAATCAAATAAGAACCACAAAAATTTGAGAACATAAAGACTAATCTAAGCCCTAATTTGGTTTTGACCATATATTTTAATTAAAAAAACTATTCTTAATTAGAAAAAGGGCATAATCATCATTTTGACATCAAAAATTAACCAGATGAAACACATACTCAACATATTTCATCTCACGAAATCCAAACATAATATTCACATACATGTTATAAAAACCTCTAACTATAACGTATTCTTATACATTCCCTTCGAGTATTACACCTCGTTAACCAACACTCAAAACACATAGTAACCCTAAAACCCTCCTTTTAACGACAAATTCATATACGTATTCGACATACAAACAATTAAGCAACGATGCTTTAACATTAATAATCATAATAAAGATTCGACAAATGAAGTACGAAATAAATAACGAAGTACGAAAAGAAGAGAGAGTTGGGATATGATATGATATGATTATGGAATTAGTGGTTAAATACAACTCACCACCCCACACACGATGCACCAAATAATGCGGTTCTTAATTCCGTAATTATTGCATAACAAGGAAGCATCTTAGAAAGCAATGGCCCAAGTAACACATGGGGGGTTATGGGTATCTTCCTACGTACAATTTGGCTTTTCCATTTTTTTTTAAATTCATAAAGTTTCAAAAAAAAGATGCCACTTTTTTTTGAATAAATGTCGCTTATAATATCGTGTTTGACAAAGTTTTTCGGGTTTTTTTGATAAATGATTAGATTTACATGTGGGTTTTTTAAGTCATGTTGATAATCGTTAGCTATCATATTTCAAAAAAGCTTTATTTGGTAAGTTATATACAAGTTGGATTATTGATTAAGCCGACTTTTTAAATAACTATTTCAGATAAGTTATTGGAGTTTTTTTTCTACTTTTTTCTTTAATTTGGGTTGTGTTGTACTGATTAAGGGTTAAGGGGATATAGTGGAAATCTCATCTTTTTCGAGTTCGAATCTAGGTGTTGTCAAAACCCTTATGACTGTGAAGGTTCACCTGCGATGATTCTAAGTCATTCATGGTCTTTGATGAATTAGTCGGGGTGTATAAGCTGGTCAGGATACTTACGATTGCGTCAAAAAAATGCTTCTTATGTTTTTTGGTAACTAACTTGTTAGAGCATCATCAACAACTGTACCAAATGCGGTGACTCTAAAGGTCAAAAGTACCAGGAGGTCTCAGGTTCAAATCCAAGGAGGAAAAAAATCCCCTTGTGGCCGCGGAGGTTCAAATGCTATGACTCCAGACTATCTGCAAAACATGTGGTCATTATGGGATTAATCGGCTCGCATAGCGAGTTAGATATCCAGGTTAATCAAAAGACAACTGACCCAAAATGGGAAAAAAAAGATTTTCGAGATTTTATTTATCTCTTTTCCTCCATTCATCTCTCCGAAACTTTCTTCTAAATATATAAAGTAAGAGAGAGAGAGATATTTCTTTTGCATATTTGGAGAAAAATGAGTTTTTATATTAATAAAAGTTTTGATAATATAATTAAGAAAAAATTACAGAAATAACCAATCAACAGATAAGGTTTCACTTTTCAGTAATTTTCTGAACCAAATTCATTTTTTAGTCATTTGTTATGCTTTTACATAAGAATTGATTAAAAAGTGAATTTGTATTAGAAAATGACTGAAAAATGGAACCATATATTAACTATTTATGTAAAAAAAAAACTCTATAACTAATGTTGAAATCTCGAAAATAAAAAACTATTAATTTTGTTTTGGTGAACCTTGATATCCAACCCGTTATGCGAGTCGACTAATCCCAGGACGACCACCTGCTTTGCAGGTAGTCTGTAGTCACCGCATTTGAACCTCCGTGGCCACAGAGGGGTTTTTGTTCCTCCTTGGATTTGAACCTGGGCACTTTTGAAAAAAAACTAATGTAAAAATTTTACGATATTTTTAACTAACAATTAATTTATCAGTCAACGATTAACTTATCAGTAATAATGTTTAATTTTTATAAAAGCAAGAGAGTACACATATGAGCGTGAATGAAGGCACATGGCTTGGGTGGGGTTTTGCCCAAATAGGTACACCAATAGCACATGTTGGGTGGAGTCGGTTGGTTCGTCTTTTGTATATACAATACCCAACCCACAGGAACCGCATCCAACCCATGTGACCCACCCTACACCAATCACCAATTCCTTCTCTTTCTAACCAATAATCAATATTAAATACTTGCTATTTATTATTTTATCTGGTTTTGTAATAACAAGATAACGATACCCGATAAATATAAGTTACAAAAAAAAAAATCAACCGTCCTTTAAAGTTCAAACTTGTTTGATCCGTTTTATTGGATGTCATAAAGAACCCAGATCCATTATTGCGAGCCTTGATATGGATTATTAATATGCAAGCAATAAGATTAGATTTTAAGATGTTATGCAAGTTATAACGAAAAAGACAGTACCATTAATCATACCACATGGTTCGTCGCCATATGTGTCATCATCGTGCTTGGACATGTCCTTCTTGTAGGCGTAACGTCGTTGTCAAAGGACAATAAAATTAAACTTTTGGTAAGCAAGTAACAAAATTTAACAAAATAAACGATGTGCATTATTGATTTCGCTGAACTAGTTATTCTGAACACAACTGTATGTGTCGGTCATGAATCTTGTGTGTTGAAATAAGACGTGATCCAGTACCTACCCGCATGCTAAATAAAACACAAGCATACAAAAAAGTACTAAAAAAGAAATTATATTGAATGGATTAGTAATCGACGTATACATTTTGACAACTCCAATACTAATGGTTACAATATTTAAAGTAAAAATTACTAATAATAAAAAATTAGGCCAAAATAATTTGGATTAATTAATAATCACCAAATTTTAGGCAATAACATATTATTAATACATAATTAGGGTTTCGGGCAAATATTATAACATTCAGTTCCAAAGTTCGAATATTTGGTCGCTTGTACGTAGGTGGATTCATTCATCTTTTAATTTGGAGTAGATTACATAAATCGACATATGGTATTCTCAAACTAGGGAAATTTTCGTTACAAACAATTAATTGTGTAGCACCTCCGGTGTTTCGATTTGCTTTGATGGATGGTACCTAATCTTAACGGAAATTAAGTCCATCCCT